TATATATATAGTGTAGACCAGTGATAATGAACGATGCGGTATGCAGAGAACACAACCTTGCTGGTTGAAGGGGAAGAGGACTTGGGGACTGCAGCCGTCCATATGTAAAGGGAACAAAATTTCTCCCAACCAGACCAATAAACAGTATGATAAATGGAGAAAGGATTCAAGTTGTTAAGCATCTTGTTTTACTTAGATCCACAATCAATGCCCATGGGATCAGTGGTCAAGAAATCAATAAACACATTGCATTGCATAAATCTGGTATTTAAAAAAAAACCAAAAAACCTCTTTTAAAGTTTTAAAGAGCAAAGGTGTCATTTTTGATGATCATCTCATGTCTGACCCAAGCCATGGTATTTTCCACCCACTCATATGCATATGAAAATCAGAGAATGAATAAGGAAGACAGGAGGAGAACTGATGCATCTGAAGTCTGTGTGGCAAATATATATATATATATATATATATAGTAGACCACGGGCTGCCAGAGGAAAAACAAATCTGATTTTGAAGAAGTACTGCAGAAATGCTCCTGAGAAGCGAGGGTGGCAGGACTCCATCTCACGTACTGGGGACATGTTGTCCTTCGGGACCAGTCCCTGGAGAAGGCCATCATGCTTCGTCAAGCAGAGCTCAGTGAAAAAGAGGGGACCCTCACTGAGCAGGACTGACTACAGAGGTTACAGCCATGGGCTCCCAGGTGGGAGCACTTGTGGGGATGGGGCTGGACCGGGCAGTGTTTTGGTCTATGGCACAGAGGGTCGCTGTGAGTGAGAACTGATCTGCAGCAGCATACTGTCCTCTGCCTGTTTGTACGGATGTCCTAATAGCGGTTCTCAACCTGTGGGTCGTGACCCTTTTGGCAATCAAATGACCCTTTCACAGGGATCGCCTAAGACTATCAGAAAACACTTTTTCCCAATGGTCTTAGGAACCGAGACACTGCTCCTCTATCCGTCTCCAGGCGAGTCCGCCCACATGCAGATACGCCCACAGACGAGTACCCGGTGTGAAGACTGTTACCCATGTTACACCATGCTTCAACACAAAATTTTATTTACTTGTCATTCAAAATAAATATTTCACAATATATAATTACATATTGTTTTTGTGATTAATCACTATGCTTTAATGATGTTCAATTTGTAACAATGAAAATACATCCTGCATATCAGATATTTACATTATGATTCATAACTAGCAAAATTACAGTTATGAAGTGGCAATGAAAATAATTCTATGGTTGGGGGTCACCACAACATGAGGAACTGGATTAAAGAGTCATGGCATTGGGAAGGCTGAGAACCACTGTCTTAGAGCCTCACCACAGCCCTGCTTAGAAAACGTTCTAGCTCTTCCTCCCTTTCCAACATCTGCCCTTTCAGGAGTTTGGGATTCTGTGGCCCCGTGAAATAAGTTTCAGTCTACATTAAAACCATGCCTGCCACCAGTGGTGAGAGTGGCGATACCGGGAGGATGGAGGGAAGGTGGGGTAGAAAAGGGGAACCGATTACAAGATCAGCATATAACCTCCTCCCTGGGGGACAGACAGCAGAGAAGTGGATGAAGGGAGATGTTGGACAGTATAAGATATGACACATTAATAATAATTTATAAATTATCAAGGGTTCATGGGGGAGGGGGAAACAGGGAGGGAGGGGGGAAATGAGGAGCTGATACCAAGGGCTCAAGTAGAAAGCAAATGCTTTGAGAATGATGAGGGAAACAAATGCACAAGCCCCCAATAAAGTGATTTAAAAAACAAAACAAAACCATGTCTGCCACATCAGAGGCTCCCAGTCCTACACATGGACTCGGTCAGCCCAGGACAGCTCACAGTTGTCACAGAGAAAGGAGTGCCAGGAAACACCACCGTCCAGCAATCACCGCTTCCTCCCGCTCCTTCACATGGACACGTATCCTTCTGTTCTGTCGCGTGGTTGCATCCTGAGCCAGAAAGGGTCTGAAAACGAATATACTTGCATTGGGCCCATAGGAGTTGAGAGAGTCTTTTAACCTTCTTTATGTGCGACTCTTGTTTGCCATCCTTAAAAGCATTAAAAATCTAAAATCTTACTGGACCAGGCATGGAGATCCAGTCAACACTGCAGATGCATTTCCTGCCCCACCATCCCTGCCACCAGGGCCAGGGCAGGCATCACTAATCGATTATGGCACTCTTCTGGAGCCAAGCTCTGGCTCCAGAATCTTTTTCAATGTATTGGGTTTGCTTTGTTTTGCTTAAAGGAATTACATGTATTGTTTACTCACTGCCATCAAGTGGATTCCAACTCATAGTGACCCTATCTCACCCACCAGGGTTCAAATCCCTTGGGGGGGTGGGGTGGGGGGGGGTCTCTCCACAAAAATTCATTGATTTAATAACCATTCATGAATGTTTATGAGTCTTTCATGCTTTTAACTATGTTTGTTCCCCATGCTTTTGGTGCCAGCACCCCAATTTCCCTTGGGGACCCCCATTTTAAGTTCAGTGGAGAAATAGAACCTAAGAAATGGAAGGAGTGAGGCAGGCAAAGGCAGATATCAAGTTCTGACTAATTCATCTGAGCCTTCTTATAGATGAGCCATGATAGTACCCACTTCAGATAGATGAGCCAAGAAAGTACCCACAACTTAGGTCGGTTTGAGGGGTGTTTCTTCTCTCGTACCTGAAAAAGTCCTATCTGGTCCCCATGTAATCCCTGATCTGGGTACTGAGGGGTGACCCTGAGGTGACAAAGGATCCCTGTCCTTCAGGTGGCTCCCAGTGCAGCAGGTTAGACACACATGTAATAGCTAATCACAGTCACAGAGCCAGCTCAACTAAGGGCCAGGCTGGAACCAGAGAAACCAGCTCACCTCCCACCCGGTGCGCCTACCAGTCCCTGAGCTCCGAACCCCTGACTTGGGTCCTTTTTTGACCCACAAGGAGTCCTGGGCTGGGAGTCAAGAAGTGAGATATGCTATGAACTTAGGGATTAAAAAAAACAAACCAAACAAACCACACTGGACCTCAGTTACCCCATCTGTAAAAGGTGGATGCCCTCTGCAGACCATGGAAGGAGCGGTAGTGTCCAGGTGTCACAGGGGAGGGTGGTCACTATGACAAAGGGCAGACCAACTCCCCTGCAGGTTCCTTTCGCTTCAGCAAGGAGGGCGGGCCCATGGAAATTGCTGGGCTGCCCTGCTTCCTCCACAGAACGCCAGAGACAAAAGAGATGAGAGGGACCTTCTGTCCAAACTTCCACCTCCCCTTTACCAGAGCATCCACTCCTCGGGAATCTGGCCTCTTTACAGGCTTTTGTGGCAGGCTCTGGTGATACAGTGGGTTACGCCTTCGGCTGCGAACCACAAGGTCAGCAATTTGAACCACGAGGCGCTTTGTGGGAGCCAGTGGAAGCTGTCTACTCCTGAGCGTTCTCCCCAGGCCCACATGGTTGCTGAGAGTCGGAATCAACTTGGTGACAGCGAGTTTGAGCTGAGTGGGGGTCCGGGAGGAGCTGCTTCTGTGAGGAAGTCTCCCCCACCCTTCCTGTCCCCCACAGAGAGGTCCTCGCTCCCAGCCTTCTTCACACCCTGCTTCAGCCAGGCACCCTGCCCTGCCCCTCTCCTCCCAGGGGACAGCTGTGGCCCGGGGCAGCAGCGGGAGCCGGAGCCAGCACCTCGCCGCCAGGGAAAAGGTCAGGTCACTTCTCAGCAGCTGCCCAGCTGAAAGGCTCTTCAAGGAGTCTGGGCAGCTTCCTTCGCCCTCTGGGAAGCCAGACGGTTAGGGCCAGGGCCAGGGTCACCCTGGGAGCCACTGCAAAGAACTGAGGGCTGACCCGCCTGTGGCAACGGGTGACCAAGGCCATCAAACTTGGCAACCTGCCTTTCAGCTCCTCGTTTTTCTACAGCAGACCAGTTTCCATTCCACAGACAGGCGAGCCCCTGCACACCCACCCACCTTTCACAGCGGGGGATTCCAGAGCTGGAAAACACAGGCTCCATCCTCACTGCTCTGTCCCCCTCCCCCAAGAGCTGTCACCAGCCGCCATCACCCTCTCCTAAAACAGCATCCAGTGATTCTGAATTACAAAATCAATTACTCTAAGGAGGTGCTTGGCAGACAGGCACTCGAACAAAGACACCAGAGGATTCCCACCGTGAGGTAATTGCTCTCCCAAGAATTTCAGATAATAAAAGAGGCATCTAAAGGGAGCAGTTCGCCCCAGGAAGGAAGGGACTGTGTGGCTGGACGCAGGGGGCTTTTCTCGTGATCTTTCTGCTGGGCTGACCCAGTGGTCATGACCCTCAGTGGGGCCACCAGATCCCACGGAGCCATGGAGTGGGACGTTAAGGCCCGAGCCCTTGGGGCAGTGCTGGGTTCTCAGAGGACACTTGATTCTCCACTCATTCCTGGGGCTGGGATAGAGATGGGGCCCTGAAGCTCAGTTTACATACGAGCACAGGGACACAGGAGTTGGCAGTTCCGCTGGCTCCATTCCACCTGCCCGTCTCAGCCCCTAAACAAGGCCAAAAGCTTGCCAGCAAGGTCCTCCGCTATCAATGCCCAGTCCTCCTCCCTCACCACTGGCCCAGGACACCCACATACAGAACTTGCCAGTTGATCCAGAACAGAGTGGTGGGACCACACGCTCCCCTGAGACTGGTTATTGGACCTTCTGGGCCCTGGCTTTCTTCTTTGTAAACACGGGAGATGGCGTCTCGCTCCTATACAGATGTCTACGATGCCAGTTCCCTAAGTGTGTCTCAACGCCTGACAGCAGGCGCCCATGAAGGAAGTGCCCACGGTCAGAGATGGCGGGAGAGCTCCAGGGTGAATGGTGTTCAGCTGATTTCCTGGCAGCTGGGTATCTCAGAGCCTTGAAAAATATTCGCTGTGGATTGGCACCCTCCAAGATGGGCAACAGGCATGCCACCGTTCCCCAGCATCTTCTTTTATTTATTCAAAATGGGTTTATTAGGATGGCTTCCCACTCATCTTGATTCAGGATGTTTTAGTGCTGCTTCCGTCTGAAGGAGCATCCTTCTGTGAGCCTGGCGTTTCCAAATCCTGTAGGCTGACAGAGGACAGTAGAGCAGCCAATGCACACAACTACTGTTTGTGCCTGGCTGAAGACAGTGGTGATTTTATGGCAGCCTGGGCACTTGACAACCCTGAAGTAGGAATTGGGGCTCTGCAGCAAGCACTGCTTCTTGTGTTTTCTCTTCTCCTCTTTTTTTTTTTTTCTGACTTTTTTTATTCCTCTTCTCCTCTTAAGGAGAGGCAACATGATTGCTGGGGAGGTCGTCACCGGCACTTGACAACCCTGAAGTAGGAATTGGGGCTCTGCAGCAAGCACTGCTTCTTGTGTTTTCTCTTCTCTCCTCTTTTTTTTTTTCTGACTTTTTTTATTCCTCTTCTCCTCTTAAGGAGAGGCAACATGATTGCTGGGGAGGTCGTCACCGCCAGAAAGGAGTCCCCAGCATCTTAAAACCAGTTGACATCAAGCTGATTCTAACTACGGTGCTTAGCTACTAACTGAATGGTCGGCTGTTCAAGTCTACCCAGAGTCGCCTCGGATGATAGGGCTCGAGAGCTACTTCTGAGAAACCGGCTGTTGAAAGGCTGGGGAGCCCAGCGCTGCTCCGCGGTCACGGGCTTGTCTAAGCCTCTCGGTGGCACACACTGGGCCCCCCAGCAAAGGTTGCAGTCAGTTGGGAGGATATGACAAAGATGTAGCAAGGTCATATCAAGGGCTAACAAGGCTGTAGCTGTTTAAAAGAGGCAGGCTGGGGAGAGAGGGGCTATCAGAAAACCATCGGAGCCAGAGTGCGCAAGACAAGTCCTGAAGGAAAAGGGAGGGTTTCTGGGCAGAGACAGGGTAGGAGGGCATTCCAAATTGAGGGACTTGCTCAAGTGGGAGGGAGCCCCAAAGTGGGAAGCTGCAGATAGACTGGGTTCTAACTGTCACCTGGGCAAGCCAAAAAAAGCACTCCGTGCCACTGAGTCAATCCTGACTCACAATGACCCTCCAAGGCAGAGCAGAACTGCCCCTGCGGGTTTCTAAGGCTGCGAACCTATAAGAGAGCAGGAAGCTTCATCTTTCTCCCCTGGGGTGGGTGGCTGGTGGGTTTGAACTGCAGACCTTTGGATTCGCAGCCCAACTATGTCCCACCAAGGCTCCTGTGTGACCCGGAATGGAGGCGATAATGTCAGAAAGGAAGGGTGGGGAGGGCCTTGGGGTCAAGAATACGGTGCGGTCTGAAGGTCCTTGGACAAAAAGAAGGGCTCCCATGGGTCAGCTTCCCACGTGCTAGACACGCAGCCCTCCCGTGAAGCAGGTGCCTGTCTAGCTAGCCTTCTTCTTAAAGCCAAAGAAAAGGTCAGCTGGTGCCACGGTGCACTCAGCAAGCGGGTGGCAGGGCAGGGATTTGAAGCTCCAGGACCTCGAGGTCAGAGTTTGTGCTCTTAAAGAGACGGGCTTCCCAAGACAGGAAGGGCAGGACAGAGCCTGAGGCCATCAACACCTTCAAGGCCTGGACAGAACCCTCCATTCCTCCCCCAGAGCTTCCTCCCTGGGCCTTGGTTTTTCATTCGCCAACCCTCTTCAAACATATACAGCCGCCAAGGAAAACGGAAACCAGCATCCTCAACTCAGTTGCCCTGGAGTTGATTCTGCCTCAGGTTGGCCCCCTGGGGGGCCACGATGGCTCCAAGATGGGGGCTTTCGGGGCAGTGATCTTTCTGGAAGGAGGCCAGCAGGCCTGCCTTCTGACGAACTTCTGAGTGGATTTGAACCTCCAACCTGCTGGCCACTGGTCTTAACCATTTGCACCGTCCTGGGGATGCCTACGAAGTTCTGAACATTTAAAGAGTCTTCCCACGGATGGCAAAAAGGCGCTGAAGCCAGTGGCACCCAAAGGAACATGGGGACCAACACACCTGGGTCCTCAGTAAGGCTTGTGTCTCTAAGCACATGGGTGCTGCTGTGAAGCTGATAATTGCCTCAATCGCAGTAAAGAAGGCACCAGGCCCCTTCCTACCCTGGCACAGGAAAGACAAGGCAATGTTTGCCCTGATTCAACTGGGTAATTACGCAGACAATGCAGACAGAAATTCCAGCAAGATATAAATACTTAAAAATCTCTGCCCTCCCAGGGCACAGGGCTCTCACTCGCTGGTGAGGAGGAGGTCAACAACAAACAGGAATCCAGGGGGGAGGTGGGGAGGGGCGGGGAGGTGGTTGAGGTGTGTCTGAGGCTAAAAACAACAGCAGTGGCTTGTTAATTACAGGCACTTACCCGGGGCCAGCCCTGTGATGCACACTTCGCATGCATGACCTCACTTAAGCCTCAAGCCACAGGGTGATGCCCATGCCAAGATGGCAGTCATTGGACGGAGGAGGAAACTGAGACTCAGGCAGTGAAATGACCTGCCTGGGGGCTCACAATGAGATGTGGCAAACCCAGCTCCATCAGATTCCAAATCCACACCTTCGCCCACCCCCTCTGCCCCCTGCTCCTGCTCCAAACGCATGTGTGATATGGGGGGGTCGGGGGGGTGGGGACTGCAGGGAATAGGGTTAAGCACTTGGCGATGAACCCCAGCCTTTTTGGCACCCACCCTGTGGTTCAGCGTTAAGAAGACCTGGCAGTAGGCTCTGTACAGATAAGGAAGGAGCCTGTCAGCAGAAGAGAGAGGTGGCAGTCTGCTTCTATAAAGATTACAGCTGTGGAGACCTGACAAAGCGGCTCCACTCTGTCCTGTAAGCCCAAACCCACAGCAAACGAGTCGATTCCAACTCCGAGGAACTCTATAGGGCAGAGCAGAACTGCCCCTGAGGGTGTCCCAGGCTATAAATCTTTAGAGGAGCAGAAACCTCATCTTTCTCCTGAGGAGCAGCAGCTGGCTGGAAGGTTCAAATTGACCTTGAGTTTAGCATTGGAATGAGTCACTCACTATACCCCTGGGACACCGTCAATGGGACTTAAAACCCGTGGGAGGCAGTTGAAATGACACATGGGGCCACTCTGAATTGGAACCAACTCATGGCACATGACAACAGGAGTATTCCAATCCAGATGGGAACCAAAGGCAAGCTTGGCCTCTTCCCACCTCCCAGGTGTCTGGGCTCCCAAGCCTGGAAGCTCCCAGCTAAGCTGGCTGCATGGCTGCCAGCAAGGCAAATGAGGAAGAAGAGATTTGGGAGTTTGCGATCCTAGTTGCAGAAACCCGCCCACTGTCTTGCTGGGGTTAGTACCAACCCCACTTCCTCAGAGCAATACTCCCGTCTCCCGCTCCCCATCCTCCCTCTCCCAAGCCCTGCCAACACTCGCTGCTGTCTACGGCAACGGCAACGTGTAATCTCTGCAAAACGGTGGGCATGTTTTTCTCCAGGTAACCCTGGAGGTCCTCAGGTGTGTGTGGGGGGTTAAAACCTCAGGCTTTTTAGAGTTCCAGCCCCAGCCTCTCCCTGAGCCCCCCACTCAGCTGGCCGGCTTCACCAAATGCTCCCCCAGGGACTCGGACCACAGAACAAGCTGGCTTTCTGCTCCCACCAAGATGTCCAGGGTGGAAACCCCCGTATGAGGCCACTGGGCGCTGGAATCAACTCGATGGCAGTGGGTTTGGGATTTACTGTCCCTTTAATTGAGAAATTTCTCTACTCAGAACTGCTTCCACCAAGGCAGTATCTTCTGGAAAGGGGCACAGAGGCAGGGAACCTAAGAAGGCTCTTAGTAACGGCAAGGGCGATGGCGACAGTAAAAGCAAGGTGAAGCTGTGAATGATAAACCCTAACAAGCACACGTGCATTTATTGAATGCTTACATTGAGCAGATATTGCAGCATGTCCCCTTTCTCCACATCCGACATTCACCTTGCAACAACCCTGGGAGGAGGTACGACTGCCCCAATTCACAGGTGAGACTAAGGTCACCCAGCGGGTGGATACAGCAGTAAGCTCTCCCATCTCCCCAGTCTCCTGTGTGACAGACCCTGGCCTGCCACATCTCGCTGCTCTGCCAGAGGCTTCTCTGAAGCAAGAACAAGATGCTTGCCTCTTCCCCCTTTGGGCCCTGACCCCAAGATTTGGGGCTTCTTTGGTAATCAGCAAACTCTCTCATTCAACATCTGAATCAACTTCTCATTGGTCACCTCACCCAAAGAGAGTTGTCCCCAACAGCCCTTCGGCCTTGCAGGCCTCTCCAGGGGAGGGAAGGAAAAGAACAGACAGCACTAACAAAAAGCCAGTGGGATGGATGGGAGAGGCTGAGAGGGATCCAGAACTTCTCATGGCCTCTCCCTCTCCATGGAGCCTGGATACAGCCTTACCTGCTCTCCTCTGCTCCCTCTCGTCGCTCAGGGATAGTGCTGAGAGGGGGCTATGCGGAGGCAGTGCAGATCTAGGAAATGCCCCCTTTGTAGCCCTCGCCTACTTCCTCACACCTGGGCTCTCCTTGCAGCGGCACAAGGCAGTTAGCCCAAGCAGCTGGTGGGCAGAGCCAGAGTGACTGACAGACCCCATGAGCTGTGTGTCAGGGAGACCAGCGTTCAAGGCCTGGCGGCGCCCTTTCCCAAGTCACTCTGCATCTCTGGGTCTCCGTTTTGTCATCTGTGAAATGGAAGTGACAGGACCGCATAGGTTTGCTGTGAGGTTCAAACAGGCTAATGCAAGTGTCCTCAAACTACGGCCCACGGGCCACACGCGGCCAGCCAAGGACATTTATCCAGCCTGCCGGGGGTTTTTGCCCGTTTTCTTTTTTACTTCAAAATAAGATAGGTGCAGTGTGCATAGGAATTTGTTCATAGTTTTGTTTGTTTTTTTAACTATAGTCCGGCCCTCCAACGGGTCTGAGGGACAGTGAACTGGCCCCCTGTTTAAAAAGTTTGAGGACCCCTGGGCTATGCTTAGAAAGCTTTAAGCCCAGGGGCCTGGCTTCTGGTAAGTGCACAGACAAGATGAGCTGCTAGATGCTAAGACTCCATAAAGCTCAGAGGGGGCATGTGCCTTGCACAGGGTCACACAGCCACTGAACAGAGCTTCTGGGTCACCCTCTTTCTTGACACGGAGACACTCTCCTGGGAAACTGAGAGGGGAAGGCCCAGGTGTTCGTCAGGCCCCAGCGGCCGGCTTCCTCAGGCTGGCAGTGCCGGGGCTAAGTACAAAGTCCTAACTAACAGGTTTGTTTTTCTTCCGAAAAACAAAACCCAAATCAACGAGTGGTTCAGAATGAAAGTTTCCAGAGCTTGGCTTCCTCCCCCAGGCAGAGGGGAGTAGTGATCTCATCC